ACTGGTTGAAACCCATGAAACATCTTCATAAGAACTGAAGATTAAAACTAAATGACAAATATGTATAAAAGAGCATATAATCAACCAGGCTACCAGATTTATTAAAGGAAAAGAATACAGAAGTATATTATACCAAGCTATCTGAATTGGTAGTCTGGAATAAAACTGATGGTTCTGAGTTGCAATTAGTAAGAAATGATAAAAAAGATGCCAGAAAGATAGATATTGAGGTTCTAGTGAACTTTACAAAAGTAGAAATAATATAATATAGCAGTTAAACAGATAATCCCTATAACTGCAAGTGTTAGGTAACTATAGTGTGTTGCATAAAACTAGGTCTATATGTGTAAAACATAAAGGCTTTAGTAAGTTTTCTGTCAAGAATAAAGTAATTCTAAGGGTAATGACAAGCATCAGAAACTTGGATAGGTTTAGCCTTAAGATGTTCTCATGATACAAAGAGTGCTGCATATGTAAAAGGTTTAAATAGGCAAGACTTCTAGTTGGCTTGCAGGTATGGCAACTAGTGTAGAACTTATATAGTAATATATAAGTGGACTACTTAAATTAGACACCAAAAGTGCATATGTGACTAGTTGTAACCTCCAATGTATTGGTAGTTCCTGGAGGCACACCATGTTCTATAATACTTAAATAAAAACATTGCATCTTTTAAGACAGAAACTTTAACTATAAAAAAAAAAATTATTTTAATTAATCTGTTATATAAATTAGGTTTTAGAGTTGCTCTAACCTTATATTTAATTTGACTTATGCCTTTTGTAACAACAATAGCTTTAAAACAAATAAAATAATTATATATCAATTGTATTTTATAAAACTTGAAAGTTAAGTTATCATAATAATACAGAATTAGAAACAATAATTATTTGTTAGAATAAATCTGCTAAATTAAACTAATTATTTGTATTATAAAAAATTATTTAAAGTTTTATTTGTAATAGCAAATTTGAAACTATGAAATTGATAAAAAAACATTTAATAATAAATTCTGTATTGTTTCTTTTTATAGAATGTTTTTTTTATATAAAAATATGTATTTTTTTTGTTTTATTAAATAGTATTACAATAATTCTAATAATAATAAAGGTTTTATTGATTTAATAAACATAATAATATACTCTTTTTGTTTTTTTTGCAAAGCCTTATACTTGCATCTTAGTTTTATCAAATCATTCTGTCTTTTTTGTAATGCAATGTTTTGCAATATTTAATATTTTTAAATGATAATTTTGTATTATTTTTTTTGTTTTTGTAATCTGTGTACCAAAATTTCTTTAACAATATATATATACAAATAGTTTTTTTTTAATATTTTATTAATAATATTATTAAATCTAATTTTAATATTTATCATTAATAATAATGCTATTCCTTCTTATTTTTTTATTAAATTTAGAATTAAAGTACAATTTAAACCAAGTTTAGAATTAAATAAATGTTCAAATTTAGAGTTTTGAAAGTCTGAATATTTTATTAGTAATTTTAACATGTGTTAGTAAGTTTTTGAAATATACATAGTATCTTTGATAATATTATTATTGGTAGTAAATAACAATATTCTATTAAAAACAAACTTTATAACTTTGTTTTGCTTTTTTGTATATTTTTATAAAAAAAAGTTTGATTATATTTTTTATTTTTTATAAAATTTTGTAAACTTATTAATTTTATTTGCTAATTTAAAACATTCTGCACTGTACTACTCAAATCTAAACTTATTATGAAAAAAAGATCACACAAAAGGCCCCAAAATTTGTAACTTTACAAGTAAGTAGGTTGCTATTTTAGTATAAACTACTAAAATTATAATAACTAAAATTAAAAATAGTTAAATATACAAATTAAAAACTTCAATTTAAAAATATAAACCTAGCAAAGTTTATTTATCCGTGAATCCTAACTAAAAAAAAGCTAAAAAAATACACCCAAAAAATTTTTTAAATTTTATAATATTTAAAGTTTCCAGCTTTAGTCATTTTCAGCTTCAGTCATGACGATTATTAATAAAAATAAATATAATAATTGTGTTTAAATATTATAACTACTATATACGTAAAATTTTTACATAAAATCATTTCTACCTTTTTTTATAAAGGTTCAATAATCCGTTTAAAATAGGTGTGCTTATAAAGAGAATATGCTTATAAAGGGTATCTTGATTATATTTACTTTATATACAGTAGATGCTGCAGGATCATGTATCCTTGCAATATAATGTATATACACCTAAATAAAAATTGATTGCAAAGTCAAAATATGCTAAAAACTCAATATAGACAAAAAATAATCTCGTTTTCAAAATTCAAAGATAATATGGATTTTGAATCAGTTTCTGTATTCTGTAAAAACGTTGGTTCCTCAGATATTTCGACGATTTTTGACTCTGCACATACGATTTTTGACTCTGTACATTCAATTCGTTGAATAAAATTGTTGATATCCAAAGAAATCACTGTTGATAAATCATAATAACCATTAATAATCAAAATATTATTTAAAATAAACTGTCCTAATTAGTTCATTGATTAAAAAATTACCTCTTTGAAAAACATTTTCATTTATTTCGAATCCAATTTTTTTCGTTTTATATGCCGTGTCTGACATTATAAAAACAAAACATTATCACCAAGTTTCACAATAAAGTGAATAGAGATTGACATGCGAACGTACCTTTAATCGTTTCTAATGGTTCTACACCCAGTGCACCTGGTGCGTTTGCTAGGAAACGTTGCAGATATTTTAAAATGAATTATTCGAATAATGAACAAATTATCTATTTGATAAAAATTACTATTACTGTATTACCTGCTATTGTTAATCGCATTCTAGAAATTGTAAATCTTAGTAGATTACTTGCGTATATAACGTTTGGATTTGTCTCTTCAAAAAGCCCCAAGCATTCGTCCGTTACTTCGAACTTAACGGGATGATAATGCTTATAATACCAATCAGAAGTTGTTTTACAGCACAATTCCTCAGCTGATGGTCGTTTGTCAGGATTAAATTCCAGACACCTTTTCATGAGTTGTGCATATTGAATCGGTATATTTTCGCTTACATGCGGCTGTACACCATCGCAAATGTCAATTGCTAAATTCTCATCATGTTCTCTATTTGCAAAAGGTTGTTTTCCGGTAGATAATAGCCACATAAGCATACCAAAACTGTAAATGTCCGCAGCCTTAGTGTATGGTCGTCCACATATAACTTCTGGAGCCATATATGGAAGAACACCGTACACTTGAATCATGTCATCTTTGATCTCTATTGGCCTAGAAAAACCAAGATCACTGAAGTAAAAATGCTGATTATTTGATTTATCGTCTTGTTTTACTAACAAATTTCCACTATGCAAAGCGCCATGCACTAGACCTTTTATATGTATTTGTTGTAATCCACTTGCAATGGAATTAAGTATTTCTAATTTCTTTTCCCAAGTTAAGATTATATAGTTATTTACAAGGTATTTATGAAGATTACCTTGGTTAGCGTATTCCATGACGATAATGTAGTTATCGGTGGTTGGATTTTTTGAAAGTCCGAAGTATCGAATAACATGAGGTGATTTTTTACTAGCTTTTATAATTGACATGATCTAACAGCAAGATCATTTAAAATGCGTCATTTAAGGGACTTTCAATATAGACACGGTGAATCTGCAAAGTTGATTTATTTAAACATACCTCGGACAAACTATTATCCCTTCGAGAACAAAGTTCTTTTAAAGCGACACGTACTAGACCCATCCTCTTCAAAATATATTTTTTTCCTTTGTCCCTCAAATTCATAGCACATCGATATCGTAAAGGAGGACCTTCATTCCATAAAGCTTCAGAAAATTTTCCGGACCCACTCTTAGTGATCTCTTTTATATCACTAAATTTTTCGAAAGGAATCCATTCAATAATCTGTTCGCAATTTTTAGCACTTGATTGAATTTCTTGGATAAATTTATCGAGTTCTAAATCACCACTTTTCCATTCTAGGGATTTCGGACGTAGACGAGCGGATACACATAGTTGACACCATTTGTTAAAGAATGACTGATTACATTCTGGACAAGACGTCGAGGATTTGCTGTTTATATCATGCGAATCTGTTTTTTGAGCATTTTTACATTTCTGAAAGATCTTTTTCCTTAAGTCGATATGATTTACTTGGGAGTATGAGATATTTGGTGAAACACTCATGGTAACAATAATGTTGATTTTAGAATTTTAATCGTTATCAGCGCGACTTTTGTCAGAACTCATTAAGCACTGTCATCTAAATGACGGCTGCGCCAGATATGATAAAAAGAATGTGCTAATTTAGATAATCCGGATAATCCAGGCGAAGAATATATAAGAAAATAAATCAAGGTATTAAAATTTAATGCTTTTATATAATTCAAATATCTCAAAATTCAAAACTACACAAAACGAACCAATTGTTATATATGTGTATATATGCGTATGCGAAGTAAATTATAAAAATTGTAATGTTACACGGATGAATGCATTATGGTTTCTTCAGCATATTATTCAATTATTCAATCTAAATTTTTAGGTTAATTTTTTTTAAAAACTTGAAGAGTTAAACAAACAAAAACACAAATATCCAAAAGCATTAGTTTAGCCACAAAGTTTAAATAGTAGCATAAATTGTTTTTGAATTTCAAAACGGTTTATGTAGTTCCTTTATGCTGGTGAACATTAGTTTTACAGGATGTGCAACACTAGATCCGTTATAGTCGACCAGAGCGCATTCGTTCTTTGTCATTAAAGAAAGAAGTCTCGTACATCCATACATACATAGGCATTCATGTGTTGCTTCAAACCCTTTAAAAGAGTACATGTTACAAATCAAGCCTTTACGGGTTAAAAAGGATAATTTATAGTGCATCAAACGTGTGTACATGGGTGTAGGAAAATATGCGCGAGTTTTAAGCAAGGTTTTATGTTAAAAGCATATTTTAAAATACAATTTATTTCTCCAAATGCATACTTCTTGAGACAATGACTCTATTCTGTGATATATTATTCTACCATACTGGCTAAGCGAAGAATTGGTCCCTAGATAGAGAAGAATTAAATTTAATTTGAACCCAAGGTCCATTTCTTTTGATTGAAGGAATGCCCCGCATGAATGATATAATAAACAATACTGCAAACTCAACTCATTAACTTGAGCTTATTGAGAATGTACTAATTGTTATTGTGATTTTAAAACAATTTTTATGACGAATGACTTGTTCTATTACACATCAAAACTTTTTGTACGTATACTAAAATCTTATTTGCAAATTAACCATATGCAAGACGTCAAATGACTGTTCCACTATCAAAATTTTTTAAATTTGTTCAGCAGATTAGCCTATATGCACCGTAAAATAATGAACTTATTATACAAAACATGCATTTAAAAGAGTACTGCGTATGAATTTGTAGTGTGCATTTATGTTCTAGAGGTTCGTTTTATATGTAAGACTTTCACATAAATTTATATCAAATATACTTCCCAACTATTATTTTGTAGAAAGAAATTATCAGATTAAATTATTGATGAGAGTTATCTGTTCTCTAATATGTGAAGAACTTTGTTTAAAATGTTAGCGGTGATTAAGAAAACCAAAGGTCCTAAAGGTTACATGCATCAGTATGTAACTCTATTGTTCCTACAAATACGAACTCAAATCAAACTTTTACATTTCAAACTTTTAGTAAAGTTTAAGTTTGATTTGGATTTTAAGTGTGCAACTAGTTTGAGTTTAAAATATTATAGACATATTTTTGAGGACTGAACAAGTTTACTTAAAGCATAAAAATTAGTATAAACTTTTTTTTTTGATTTTAGCAATTTTGCTTTTATTTAAAATTACATAAAAATACAACTATTTCTGTGGCACCGACTGATCGACAGCGATTGACCTAAAAAAAAAACCGCCGTAACTCAAAATTTCGTCTATGTAACCATCTTCTGCGCATTAGTAAAAAAAATTTCTTGCAAAATTTTAGTATAAAACAAGTCTTTTTATAATTATAAACCTGACACTAATGTACCATTTTATGACCTTAAAAAAAATGTTAATTAGTAAAAATTTGTTAATGCTACTGGAATAGTTCTATTTCTGTATAAGTACATATGTAATTTAAGTAACAAAAATTTATCCAACCTTATAGTTCAAGTATAGCCTGTCTAAGCAATTATTTGTGTTTTTAAATATTGAAGATTTGATTTTTTAAACTTTGGTTAGCAATTATTAGTCTTATTGGAATTTTTTTTTTTTTTTTACTTAGGTAGTCATGCTGGTGTACTTTTATTAAAAAAATATAAACACTAATGCAAATATTACATACTTAATTCAAAAGACCTAACTTTTCTAAATGCTTCTTTGAGTATTTAGAAGTAATCTATCATATTAAACAGTAACAAGACCATCTGAAAGGTTATTCTTGATTATCATTCTACAATAGAGTATTATTAAACTGATAACATTTTCTCATAGTAAAATAAAAAAAAAAAAAAACCTAAATTAAATTAAACTAAAAAGGGATACAAGAAGAAAAAAGAAAAAAAATAAGTATTAGAGAGCACATCTTATTTGCAACTATTCTAATAAGATTACTAATACTTTAAATCTGTACTAAAGATCTAACTATACTTTAACCTGTGCTAAAGAGATAAAAATTCTATATACATGATTCTAAAAATTACTATATATTTCTAATTTGCTATAATCTTCTAACTTAAATCCTTCTTTATTTCTTTATTATATTATATATTAGATCATATATATAATTGTTGTATTCTTATTATATTATATTACAACACATAACTGTTTGAAAAAGGAAGTAGTAAACAATATTGATTTTTTGTAGAAGAGGAGTAAAATTCTTTATTTTTGAATAAAAAACAAAATAAATAAAAGAGATTGACAAGTATGATATATAAAAAGTCAAACTAAAGAAAGTGTTTTCAGCTGTTTATTCTGTTTTCAAGCTTCTAATAACCTTTAACTAGAGTTTTTTTCTATTGTTTTTAAAATATCCTTCTGGTTTGGATACTAAACATATTAAGAAGTTCATCTACAGAAATGTTTGACCTTAATACAAATCAACAGAAAAGTCATCTGCATCTTATTTTTTTTATGTATTTTTAGTTCATTAACAAAAATTTGTTTTATATATAAAACAGAATCAAAGATATCATCTACTTAAAAACATAACTAATCAAACTGTTTTGGTTCTAGTTTGATTTAAATGATTGTTGGAGAGAGTTGAATTCTTATTAGAAATTATTTTTTAAAAGCAAATCTTTTACCTTAATATTCTTTTTATATTTTAGTTTTATTTATAAAACCAGGCTGTTTTATTTTTTTTTAATTATATTAAGAATATTTAAACTTATAAGTATAAAAAGTATTATAAAATTAAAAGAATTACAAATTAGTTTAGTAAAAATAAAAGATTATAGTAATAATAAATAAAATAAAAAGAATTGGGTTCTATAGCTTAACAATAAAACTACAAATTCTTTATAGACAAAGTCAATAGTTCAAGTTAGGCTAAAGACAACATCTTAAAATTTTAACTCTGTAACTTATAAGAAGTCAAATTGAATGTGAAGTCTTATAGAAAGTCTCAAAGTAAAGTACAAGAACAAATTAAAAATTCATAAAAGAAGACTGACTCTGCAAAATAAAAACACTATGTATGACAGTGATATTATAGAAAGTTTGGCTAATAATAGTATTGCACAGGTTTCATTCATTTTATCAACAATCTGTTTACTAACAGTATGATTTACTAACAGTTAATTCACCAACAAGTTTATTTCACTAATAATATAATTTACCAACAGTAATTTAACTGACAAAGTAATTCTGGATATTGCTATTAGAGTCAAGTTAAGATTAGTATAATTTATAAAAAATACTTGTTAGTGAATCATACTGTTAGTGAATTATATGTCAGTGAATTATATTGTTGATAAAATGAACTTGTTAATAAATTGATTGTTAGGAAATTATAATATTAGTGAACTGATTTTTGGTAAAATAAACTGAAATCTATTATGTATATAAACCTCAAAAGATAAGAAAATACTAACATCTTTGTATCCAACTTATAGAGTACTTGATTGAAAAGATAATATTATACAATCAAACTAAAATAATAAGTAATATAATATATATAGAAAAGATCTGTAACAAAGAATTGGTTTAATCAAAATTGGAATATCTTAAACAGATATCTCTAAAAATACTAAAAAAGTATTCTTTAAGCAGTTATACATCACAACTTAGATGATAGGCACCATATTTATACATAATAAATTAAGGTTTTAGATCTTTTTGCAACATCAAGTTGATAATATATCAGTACATAGTTAGCAGTACATCTACAGAAAAGCTTGCAAAAAGTATATATAATCAAGCTATAGACTAAACTAACTATAAAACTATATCTGAAAAGAGTACATAGTAACTTCAGATTACTAATTCAGATCTTAATAAATTTAGCTGTATTACTAGAGTACTAGAAAGTAAATTAGACTATATATACCAAACTGGTAGCAAAAAGAGCAAAAAATTTTCTCTTTTCTTTTAGTCCTATTTCTAGTTCTTTCTTCCAAACAACTGCTTTATATCATTTCTTTCATATATTCTTATAAAAGCTATTTTATATTGTGTTTACTAATGTTTATAAAAATTCTTTTGTTTCTGTCAATATTTGTATTAGTTCTTGAATCATTTTTATAGTCTTTTCATAAATTAATCTCTTAATTATTTTATATCTACTCTTTTTTTTCTTTTTGGTTCTTCTTTATATAATTTCTTTAAGTTTTTTTTTGTCTAAATTCTTTCATATTTTGCTAGTTTCTTTCATAATTGCTACATATTGTTAAATACTCTTGGTCTTTCTTTTTTCTTTTATTGCACAAAATACAATATAGATTTGTATAAATAGCTGAACATTACTTTGCTAATGTCTTCAGTAAAGGTAATCTTTTACTCAAACATTTAATTAGTGTTCTAATTTGCTTGTTCTTCTTCATATTTGTACATCTTACTCTACTTTGATCTTTAACTTTTTTTTACAAAAATGGCTAATTGTGCTCTTCTGTTTCATTATTTGGTTTTAGCTTCTTTATAACTAATGACAATCTCTATTTTTATCTATTTTTAGATTAAGAATATCTTTCAAAA